CTGGGGGATGCTCCTGTCCTGGGGATGCTCCAGCCCCCAGGGGATGCTCCATCCCTATGGATGCTCCATCCCTATGGATGCTCCAGCCTGGGGGATGCTCCTGCCCCCGAGGGATGCTCCAGCCCCCAGGGGATGCTCCATCCCTATGGATGCTCCAGGCCAGGGATGCTCCGACCCAGGGGGATGCTCGAGTCTGGTGTATGCTCCAGCCCCGAGGATGCTCCAGTCCCCAGGGGATGCTCCATCCCTATGGATGCTCCAGGCCAGAGATGCTTCAGCCTGGGGGATGCTCCAGCCTGGGGGATGCTCCAGCTCCCAGGGGATGTTCCTGCCCCTGGGGATGCTCTGGCCTGGGAATTCTCCAACCTCCGGGGATGCTCCAGCCCCGGGAATGCTTTGGCTTGGGAGATGCTCCCTGCCAGGCTTGTGGTCGGTTCTCTTCCCTCTCCTGTGAGCTATTGCATAAGAGGGATTTGAGGGCTTCTACTTGGCTCTCTCCCCCTCCCTCCCTGCCGTCTTCTTCCAGAATCAATTCCTTGTTTTTGCAGTGTTTGGCTTGCTGGAGGTTAAAGCAGCCCCTTCTCCAGGCGGTGCTGCTCGCTGATCCCGGGGTCAGCGGGAGCTGCAGGGTATCAAGCCTAAGAAGGGCTTATCCTGTATTTTTACAGCTTCCCAAGGCCCCAGCTCCGGGGTTAGAGCCCTGGGCTGAGCTGTGGCGTGCGAGGGCTCAGGCACGCACTGCTCTGCTGCATCCCTGGCCGGGCTGAGCTGCTCTCCTGGCTGTCCCTGCTGGCTGCTGACAGCCACAGAGGGTTTGTCCTGCCCTGTCAGCTCCCCCTGTGCTGCTGCTGCTGCGAGAGCTTCCCCATAGAAACAGCGCTGTGCTGGCAGATACAGCTCACACGGGAATAACGGGATGGTGCACGGCTCTGTGTGTGCTGGAAACCAGCAGGGGAACGTGGAATATCCTGGGCTGGAAGGGAGCCAGCCCTTGGCCCTGCACAGACACCCCTACAATCCCACCCTGGGCATCCCTGGGAACAATATCCAAACAGTCCTGGAGCTGTTGGGGTTGTGCCCTGTGACCGTGTTCACAGGGGTCTGAGGATGAGGGAAGAGACGAGGATCTGACTCCATGTTTCAGAATGTTTCATGATTTATGATTTTATGATATATATTACATTAAAACTATACTAAAAGAATAGAAGAAAAGGTTTCATCAGAAGGCTGGCTGAGAATAGAAAAGAAGGAATGATAACAAAGGCTTTGTCTCAGACTCTGTCCGAGCCAGCCGACTGTGATTGGCCATTAATTAGAAACAACTACATGAGACCAATCCCAGATGCACCTGTTGCATTCCACAGCAGCAGATAACCATTGTTTACATTTTGTTCCTGAAGCCTCCCAGCTTCTCAGGAGGAAAAATCTTAAAGAAAAGATTTTTCATAAAAAGGTGTCTTCGACAGTGCCCTGCACAGACACCCCCACCCCAACAATCACACCCTGTGCATCCCTGGGAGCACTATCCAAATACTCCTGGACATCCTGGGGCTGTGCTCATTCCCTGGTGAGCCCCCAGCACCCTCTGGTTGAAGAACCTTCCCTGGTATCCAGCTAAACCTCCCTGAAGCAGCTCAAGGCAGTCCCTTGGGTCCTGTCATGCTCACCAGAGAGAAGGGATCAGTGCCTGGCCCTCTGCTTCCCTGTGGCCTCATCAGCCTGGATCTTAAAACATGTCCCAGTGCTTGGTTTGAGTTTTCATTCTCATCGTCCCCTGAATCCTGTTTGTCTGAGGAAGAACAAAGGGAAAATTCACCCTTTTTGGCACATTCTGCTAACATATTCAGGAGAGATGCTGCTTTTTTTTTTTTTCCCAAAGTCTGGTATTCCCAAGGAAGGGTGGTATGAGAGGGTGTTTGGTGTCCCTGTGGGTGAGGCTGTGACTCAGGGTGTCCTTTTATTGGCGTTGCAGGTCAGCCTGAATGATTCCCACAATCAGATGGTCGTTCACTGGGCAGGAGAGAAGAGCAACGTGATTGTGGCCTTGGCCAGGGACAGCCTGTCCTTGCTGGGCCCCAAAAACAGCGATGTAAGTAACAAACTTACACATTTACACCTCTCCGGGTGCACCTTCTGCTTCTGGGCCAGGCAAGGTGGTGGTGGCTGCTGAGCTACAGCCTGACTCGCTCTTGTGTCCTGAGACACAAAAAAGGCCAAGAAGTTTGGGTTCAGAGGCACAAAAATATTAAATATCCCCTGTGCTGCCCCATGGGTTCAAGGCGTGGTTGGGAAAATCTCAAATCTTTCCCCACCTTGTAGCTCACTGAGTTTTCACCAAATCTGTCAGAATGAAGCTCAGAACTTTGTGCTTCTCATTTTTCTGTCAGAAGGGAGCTCAGAACTTTGTGCTTCTCACCGTGGGGCTTCTCCTTTGCAGGTTTATGTGTCCTATGACTATGGGAAGAGTTTCAAGAAGATTTCGGACAGGTTCAGCTTCGATGGAGGGAACAGCAGCGAGGTGGCCATCGCCCAGTTCTACCACAGCCCTGCTGACAACAAGAGGGTGAGGGGGACGTGCCAGCTGGGCCTTTGTCCCTGCTGTCACAGGGGCAAAGATTGTTGGGCTGTCTTCATGTTTTGGCCATTCAGGGTGTCTGGACACCCCTTGGGCCAGGCACTTCTTGTGCCTTGGTGATGGCAGAGTGTGGTGGGAGCAGGGAAAATTTTCCTCCTCCAAAGTTTGCCCTCCCAAAGCTCCCCTGGGATGTGCACCTCCATTGCTGCCAGCCTGGGCTCTGCTCTGACCTTCTGCCCTGTCTGTCCCTCCACTCCCAGTATATCTTTGTGGATGCCTTTGCCCCGTACCTCTGGATCACCACCGACTTCTGCAACACCATCCAAGGCTTCTCCATCCCCTTCCGAGCAGCTGACCTCCTCCTGCACAGCAGGAACCCCAACCTCCTCCTGGGCTTCGACAGGTCTCACCCCAAAAAACAGGTGAGCACTTTGCTCAGGTGGGGAAGCAGCATCCCACCCTGCCCTGAGGGATGTTCCTGTGGCCTCTCACAGCTGAGAGACACCTTGGTGCTTTGTGACTTCGTGCTTTGGCCATTCAGGGTGTCTGAGCTCACATGCAGAGCTCTCCAAATCTGCCAGGTCACTCCTTTCCCTACAGTCTGTCCTGTTCTCACCTCTGGAGAATGAGGACACAAAATGTGACCGTGTTCACAGGGGTCTGAGGATGAGGGAAGAGATGAGGATCTGACTCCATGTTTCAGAAGGCTTGATTTATTATTTTCTGATATATATTACATTAAAACTATACTGAAAGAATAGAAGAAAGGATTTCATCAGAAGGCTGGCTAAGAATAAAAAAGAAGGAATGATAACAAAGGTTTGTGGCTTGGGCTCTCTGTCCAAGCCAGCTGGACTGTGATTGGCCATTAATTAGAAACAACCACATGAGACCAATCCCAGATGCACCTGTTGCATTCCACAGCAGCAGATAACCATTGTTTACATTTTGTTCCTGAGGCCTCCCAGCTTCTCAGGAGGAAAAATCCCAAGGAAAGGATTTTCCATAAAAGATGTCTGTGACACTCTGGCCATTCGGGAGTCTGATCTCACATGCAGAGCTGTCCGAATCCATCCCTTCCCTGCAGTCTCTCCTGTTCTCACCTCTGGAGAATGAGGACACAATACCTGCAGGCTGCCTCTTTTATTTCCCTTCCCTTCTCCTCCATCCACGCTGCTCCCAGCCTCATCCATCACCCCAACCACCGTGGCCATAACTCACCACAGAGCCCTGGCAGCTGAGGCAGGGTGACCTCTGCAGTGTTTCATGTGGGCCTGTGGTTTGCCTTTGCGTCCTGAGTAACAAATTGCTGCTTGAATACAAACACTTTTTTTTTTTTTCCCCTTCTGGAGCTGTTGGGTAAAGGTTGAAAATAATTACAGCACCTTGAGGTACACACTGAGTAAAACCTGGAGGTAAACAGTGGGAAAACAGGTAAACAGTGGGAAATCCTTCTGGCAGAAGGCTAAAGGATGATTTCTTTGCTGTTTGGGTTATCTATTATTAACAGAAAAGCTGCTGTTGCTCCAGGAGCTGCCACATGAAAAGTCATTGGAGTAGCCATGGATGGACACACTGGGTCTCTTGAAGGATTGGTTCTGTTTGTGTCCCAATCCTGCTGGCATCTCTCACCTTTGTTGTTGCAGCTCTGGAAATCAGATGACTTTGGCCAGACCTGGATAATGATTCAGGAGCACGTGAAGTCCTTTTCTTGGTATGTACTGCACCCAGCTCCTGTCCTTCAAGAGAAGAAGACACCTTCTCTTGCATTGTTTGCTGCCCTGTGAAAATCAGAAATCTGGGTACCAGGGTGTGCTCCAGCCCTGCTCCCCTCACCCTGCACTGTGGGCGTGGTGACAAGTGACAGCCTGGCACCCAAGGGTGTGACCGTGTTCACAGGGGTCTGAGGATGAGGGAAGAGATGAGGATCTGACTCCATATGTCACAAGGCTTGATTTATTATTTTATGATATATATTACATTAAAACTATACTAAAAGAATAAAAGAAAGGATTTAATCAGAAGGCTGGCCAAGAATAGAATAGGAAGGAATGATAACAAAGGTTTGTGGCTTGGGCTCTCTGTCCAAGCCAGATGGACTGTGATTGGCCATTAATTAGAAACAACCACATGAGACCAATCCCAGATGCACCTGTTGCATTCCACAGCAGCAGATAATCAATGTTTACATTTTGTTCCTGAGCCTTCCCAGCTTCTCAGGAGAAAAATCCCAAGGAAAGGATTTTCCATAAAATATATCTGTGACACAAGGGTGCTTCCCATTCCCCCTACCCCATCTCCTTGCTCCTGCTGCCTTGTTTTCCCATCCACTGTGTCCCCTGTGCCCCCAGGGGTGTTGAGCCCTATGACAAGCCCAGCACGGTGTACATCGAGCGCCACGAGCCCTCGGGGGCCTCGACCGTCATCCGCAGCACAGACTTCTTCCAGAGCCGGGAGAACAAGGAGATCATCCTGGAGGACGTGCAGGATTTCCAGCTCAGGGACAAATACATGTTTGCAACCAAGTCTGTGGTGAGTGATATGCGAGGAATTGGCTGCCGAGGGTGGATGTGGTGCAGAACCACAGCGGGCAGGAGCATCTCTGCTGCACCTCAGAGCCTTCAGAGCTCGCTGGTTTGTCACAGAGGTGTCACCCAGCCCGCCAGCAGCTGCCAGCCCTGTGGGCTCACAGCATGGCTGCCCGTGCTGCTCTCCCCGTGGTGTTTCCGTGCCCCTGCCTCGGGCAGGCTGGGCAGAAGTAGGTCAGCCTGCAGAGGGCTGGGAGCAGGGAAAAGCCAGAGGATGGCTGGCAGCATCGGGGAGGGGGTGGCAGGGGAAGGGGGATGTGGCTCGGCGGCTCGGTGGTTAAAGGAGGCCGCTTGTCAGAGGAGATTACCATCAAACGTGGACCAGCTCCAAGCAGCCTAATGTGCTCCAGCCTGGAAAGAAAGCTGCACTTTCAGTCTGCTTGCCTAAGAAAAGAGGATGTGGGTGAGCAGAAGTGATCTTTTGGTCCCTCTGCAGCCAGAGCCTCTCTGTGCTTTTTAGTTCTTGGTAAAATTCGAACAAACCTGAAAGACAGCAGGAAAGTGTCTGTGCTTCCTCTGAGGGCCAGGCCTTTCTAGATCAGAGAGGGATAAAGTCCTGATCCTTCTAGAATGCAAGCAGCAGCTTTCTTTTCAGAAGATGCATTTCTCCCCTGCAGCTGAATTCGAGTGCTTTAAGAAGGAACCCTTTATTTAGGGGTGGCTGCTGGCACAACCAGGGAGGGTTTCCTGGGCAGTAGGTGACAGCTGTGTCACCTCGGGCCCCCTGAGCGGGCACAGCGGTGTCTGACAGAGGCAGGGAACGTTTGCAGAGCAATTTCAGTTTCTCAGAAGTCTCCCTTGCAGGTAGTACAGCCTGTAACTCCCAGGGCCCATCCCCTTGGCGCTGTGCCTGCTCTGTGGTTTGCAGGAGATTTTATCGAGGGCTTGGTGCTGCTCTAGGGTGAAACACTGGGGGTGGTTTGTGTCTCTGCAGGGAAGCCACTGAGCTCAGGGACAGCATCCTGAAAGCTTGAGGAGGGTTTGGGCACCATTTGGGGGTGCTTTGGAGCTTTTCCTGCTTCTGGAGCACTCAGGGGCCAGCGGGCAGCACTCCCTGCTTCCTCCTGCAGCTGTAATGATTAAACATCAATAAAATCACCCCACGGCAAGCACTGCTGGGAAACACCGAGACACAGGGAGGCTGGCTGCAAACCCCCCGTTTGGGAGTCACATCCCCAGGTCCGGATGAGGCGTTGCCTCCAAGCCTGGCTGCAGCAGGGGGGAAGGACAGGCTGGGTGGCAGCGGCGCCCAGGGCTCTGACTTCTGCTCCTTTCCGTGGGAGGCATGGTTGCTTAGTGATACAGAGGATGGGGGGAAAAAAAAGAGAAAAAAAAAAAAAAACCAAACCAAAAACCAGGCCGCTTATTTTTGGAGCCTAGATCTGGGTTTAGGTCCTCACCATTGGCATTCTGTATGAAATAGGTTGCCCCCAGATTTTTTACTTTCTCGGCTTGGCGCCAACGCCTTTCGTTTTGCGCAAATCGGTAAAAATAGGAAGGAAAGGTCAGTGTGCTCTGAGGAGAAAGGAGGAACTAAACCCAGCCTCCTTACCCCTACCTGACTGACCAGCAAGGACAGTTTGTCTCCTTGCTGAGCCCTGGCTGTGGCAATTTAAACCCTGAGTGGGGATCACTGCTTCCAGCATCATGCAGCTGCCACGCTTTGCCCACATGCATGGAGAGGGAAGTCCCAGGTATGGGGTGATCCCAGTGGAGATGAGGGTGACTTTTTGGGGTGAGAGCCCCTCCTAACGTGTCCCTGTGCTCTGCACAGCGTTTGCTCGGCAGCTCACAGCCCCCCTCAGTCCAGCTCTGGGTCTCCTTCAACCGCAAGCCCATGCGGGTGGCACAGTTCGTTACCAAGCATCCCATTAAGGTAAGTGGTGCTTCCTGAGCAGCTTCCCAGCTCCCTGCCTTGCCAAGGACACCCTGCCGTGCTAGCAGCAGCTCCAGATGCTGCAGGAGAGGGAAGGGACCTCGTATGACCCTGCTGGGGGGATGGCAGAGCCAAGGCTCACATTGGGATGATCTCGTGGTTTGCACGGTGGCACCTGGACAGTCACTGGGGTGGGGGGGGCAGCAAAGCCCAGATACCAGAGAGGGGCTGATCCCACTGCTCTGACTCTGCTTTTGGGGTCTTTACCCCTTCCCATGGCGTGGGATGCACTGGCACGACCTGGAGCATCCAATTCGTGCAGGCTGAGGAAGCCCAGGGCACTGCCAGGGCTTGCAAAGAGTCCCTGATGCATGAACAGATATTCTGTGGTGTCCCCAGGCTGGTGGGGATGATGGAGGGCATGAGAAGCAAGTTTTGGTGCTTGGCAGAGCAGTGGGCTGCACTCCCAGCCTCAGGGGTTCCAGAGATCCAGCACACAGGGGGCTTGGCACCAATGCTGCTCCAGGGGGCTTTGCAGGGCAGAGGATGGGAAAAAAATAAAGTGGAGATTTTCCACCTGCCGAGTGGAAAAAATACAAAAAGGTGGAAGCAAGATAAGAGGAAATCCAAACCAGCCTGTGTTCACACACACACACAGAGCCTGTTCTTTGTGTCCCACAGGAATATTACATTGCTGATGCCTCGGAGGACCAGGTGTTTGTGTGTGTCAGCCACGACAACAACCGCACCAACCTCTACATCTCGGAGGCTGAGGGCCTGAAGTTCTCCCTGTCTCTGGAAAATGTGCTCTACTACAGCCCAGGGGGAGCAGGCAGCGACACCTTGGTCAGGTAAGACAGGACTTAGCAATGGTCCCCTGAATGGGGAATAATTAGCATTGACTCCATGATTGCAGGTGGCTGCAATCTATTATACTATATTATACTATAATTTTACTACAATTTTATTATGCTATAATTTTACTATAATTTTATTCTGTTATACTATATTATTCTATACTATATTACTATTATACTATATTACTATTATACTATATTATACTATATTCTGTTATACTATTTGATACTATACTATATTATACTATAGAATATAGTATAATATTCTATTCTATTATTCTATTATATTCTACATTCTATTATTCTATTCTATTATACTATATTGTACTCCACTATACTTATTAAGAAGTTCAGCACCCTTACAGTCCAATACAGTTTTACTTGATTGGTCAATCCATCCAAACACCATCCAGTGTCCAATTAAGAATTCACCCTTTGGTAAACGAATTTATTTCCATAAAGCATTCCACATGTGCACAACAACATGTGAGCAAGTGGAGATAAGAATTGCATATCATTCTTTTCTCTGAGCTTTCTCAGAGCTTCCCAGGAAAACCCTGGGAGAGAGCTGTCTCTCTCTGTTCAGAGGATTTGTGATTACCACAAGGCAAATGAGAACATCGACCAAAATCTGCGATTTTTGGCTCTGCCAGCCTTACCTTTGCCTGCCAATCCCCCACATCCCCAGACTTATGGGAAGGGGTTCAATTCCCATTTCCCCGACCCCACAGGTACTTTGCCAACGAGCCCTTCGCGGATTTCCACCGTGTGGAAGGCGTGCGGGGCGTCTACATCGCCACGCTGATCAACGGCTCCTTCAGCGAGGAGAACATGCGCTCCGTCATCACCTTCGACAAGGGCGGCACCT